CAAATATTTATCCTCTATATTCTTATACTGCTCTCTAGATCACATATCTGGTTCGAACCCCTTTTTTGAATACAGATCATTAGTAGGTACTATAAACTATTCTCAAAATATATACACGTTCAATTTATATTCAGGAATATTAGGCCTTATTTAGATTCATCAATTGAACTCTTAACTAATAATCAAACCATACATTCACCTTGGTTTGTTGATTCATTAACAAATGCCATCAATTGGCTTAAACAAAATAATTCTTATTTATGCGTATATTCAAGAATGATCCCTTCAAACTTAAATACAACCAATCCTTTTCCATTAGCAGTTCATATACCTGATGAAGAAGACGTACCTTCTTTTCAACATGGTAATATAGTAGTCCTTTACCAAGACTTTTCTACAGAAATTCATAATAAAGATGCTCATTATAGCCGACTAATAGCTGTTTCCTAATAGATGATGAATTAAACAAAATTCCAATTGCACTAAATGACCCTCACCTTGAACTATTACTTTTTTCTGATTTATACCCCAATAGACATAGATACTATTATAAAATAAGAAACTAACTAGAAAATATCTGACATAATTATAACATATTCAGAAAATATATAAAACATCGATTACTTTCCAAAGATTCGCGGTTTTGTCTACATCATTATTGGCCTGCATAAATATATTTACAATTAGAAAAACTCAAAAACTTCTAAAACAAACAATAGTTAATTCAATGATCAGATATAAATACAACTCACCGTCCATCTACTGCCATTCAAATCATTGAAAGAAGCACATATACTAATGAATAGCATTATGATGAATCAAAAACATTTACTATTTCAACCTTCATTCGAACAGAAAGTACTTACTGTACACTGCATCGGAAAACTTAGGAAACACTAAGATCTGGGGACAGCAAACCGGGCGGCGGCAGCAGGGACCTGGCTTGAGATATGAGGCTAGTATACCTGGAAATATAAGCGGGAGGTTTGGGGCATTCATGTAACATAAATTGCATGAAGGAATGCAAGCTGGCAAAAATTGAGCAGTGCAAACCCGTGATAAGTCCCCTTTCCAACATGTGATACCAATGCTTCTCATGTAGGACTAGCAGTGGCAGCAGGTACCTGGCTTGAGAAATGTGGACGAGAGACCACCTATTAGAAGGAGTATACCAGTTTAGAAATATTTCGAATAACAGGCATACCAAATTGAGAGGCCATTAAGGACCGATTACCTGAATGAACCAATTTGGAAGTTACCAAGGTTTGACGGTGAGACATGGGGTTAATACGGTAGGTAACTAGATATAGTTTGAACATCAAATCCAGGTATAATCCAATACGTAGTGGAAACGTAGCATATTCTGGTAGGTTTAGGTCATAGATAAAATTGTCTAAGCCAGTATTCTTAAGATTATATGTAGCTATATAAGGCAAAAATTTAACATCTAATAAAGATATGAGGCAAGACCTCACCTTAACACCGAAAAAAAAAAAAAAAAAAAAAAGTACTTACTTTCAACAAAAAACAATATATCTAAATACAATGATCTGTGAACTCAGTCTCCCAACTATATTCATCACGTTATCAATAGCTGAGAGTCAATAGCATTATCTTTATAATATTCTAGCCAATACAGACAATAAAGATACTTTACCAACCAACAGACCATTATACACAACTTTACATTTCATACATAGATTACAGAATCTTAAAAAATATGTATAGAAAGATACTGACATTAGCGAATAGGGAACCTATAGACACTTCTTTGATAGGATAGAATTTTAGAATCGAGGAGCCACACATCTATATAGTGTCTACTAGACAACTGATGATATACAAATGATAATTAATACAAATACTATACGTTCAACACTTCCAAATTCTAACTTAGAGCCCACGCTCTATCAAAAAGTTCATGCTCTACAAATATATACATGCAACTCTAAATGCGGAGGACTAGCCTTGCCAGGTTTTGTATGTAAAAAAAGATTTCTCTGCCTATTTTCAGAACATACTTATTACGATCCATCCAACTACAGATATACATACTGCTGTATAACTCTCAAAGATCAATAGATAGTTCCATATCATGTACCAACTCTTATAATATAGAATGCTCATATAAACGTACAATACATAACAAATAAAAGACTTGCCCGATACATAACAAAATATATCAGCAAACCTGAACTAACCTATTTATTTAATATAATTGATCAATCATATTATAAAGAATATATTCATACCTGCCGAATGGAATCAATAAAACTAATGTTTTTACTACTCGGCGAACGAATTATGAATTCGTCAGTGCAAGTTCAATATTTAACAACTGATCTCCAAATATCTGTACCAAAGCTGTCCTACCTCTATATATGATCGATCTACTTAATGATGATCTATTTTGGAGTGACAAAATAGAAAAATATTTTGCCTGACCTCTTGACTCTATATTTGATAACATAATATACAAAACTTACTACGAATCATACGAAATCAAAAAAACAATTTCAAATACATCTCAAAAAACATCATACCATGATCAGCTAAGAAATACTGTTTTAGAATGTACAAATCGTATATTTACACATATGTAATTTTATGACTAGAACACGGTGAACCATTTTTTTACCAACAACTTTTATTAAGACTTCTATGCAGATCAGAAAACGATTTACTTGATGAATTTTTGTCATATCATGATTATTTTTTAACACAATTTCCAACTATATTCCAATTCATGCATGAACAAAATCGTAAATTTATTATAAATCAGACAACACATGCTACAAACCAATTTGATACCCTAATCAAAACTATAATCCTATCACTCCAACATGTAATAATATTCAACATCTTTGATCTTATCAAATTACAATTAAATTTACTCAAAATCCTGCCATGAACTCTACCTTTAAATGCAATGATTGATCTATCTTCAAGTCAATACCGCAGTATGCAAACACTAACTAATTACCTAGGCCTACAAGACAGCTCTCACTACCCTTACTTCTTCATTACAGGGCTAGCAGGAGTCAGTAAATCATTTATCATCTACTTGCTATTAAATCACCTTCAAAAAAATAATCATAACTATTTATTAATGGCTTCCACGAGTATTGCTACATAAAATATTGGTAGAACAACTATATACTCCACATTAAAAATTATATCTAATGAGCGAGGCTTTCATATATTTGCTTTTCATGACCCTAATTTTAGTAATTTTCTTCGTCAAATTCGTATAATTATTATTGATGAAATTTCAATGGTATCTGGTCCAATGCTAACTTATATCTCTGAATTATTTGAATCTCTTCATAAAAACAACCATCCATTTGGAGGCATAAATGTTATAGTAGTAGGTAACCTAGCACAATTATCACCAGTCTGTGGTCCTCCCGTATACAAATCACAAATATGGAAAATTTTCTATCCCTAATTCTTATGTGAGCCTCAACACAAAACCAGGATATAAACTTTTTAACTTTTTGCAAAAAATAAGAATGGGTATAATTGACAACAATGTATGGCAAACGCTATTACAAAAAGAAAATAAAACCACAACAACTTCTCAAATAAATACGAACTTAAACACCACTCATATCATAGGTTATCGAAAAACTGCATATCAAATTAATGAGATAATATGTTCAATAATTCCTGTTCAAGAAAACAAAATTTTAATACTGACACTTATGATAGCCAAATTTGTAATAATAATACAATGCATTATCTGTTCAAAAACAAGACAAATCTATCCACAGCAGTAAGAATCCAACCTGGTGCAAGAGTTATATTCCTAAATAATACTCAACATAAAGACCATATTGCAAATAGCACCATGGGTATCGTAACTGATATTGATTTAGATTTAGAACCCATCCATGTTAGCTTTTGTGTTGAAAGCGCAATTATTAATATTTTCTTTTTCAAATATACTGATAACTTTTTTCTCAACAGAATGCCTGCTAGTCATACACAATATCTCATTCAAAACATATTCGCCCTTATCTCTTAAACTGTAATGCAGGCAAATTTGTCTGCTAAAATTTTTTTTGTTATTGTTTTTTATAATTACTTAAAATTTTATTATGCTTAGACCCCCTATTTCTATGCTAAAATGAAAATTTGAAATATA